ATTATTCTTTTAAACAAAAGTTGTAATAATTGTTGTAGTAGTCAGGGGTTAAAGCAAAAAAATATATATATATTTTGACTGAAAATTTTTCCTCGACCAAACCCCATTGCACAGCCATACCGGTCACACACACCCAGTTTAAGAGCAGTGTTTTTCTTCTTGTAATTAAAAAAAAATTAAGGAGCACCTTCTAATCAATAATCAAAAATTCTGATCAAAAATTAGCCTTCTTAACATGAGGTGAAGTGATTTACAAAGGCATTTTCTTTTTACCTTTGCAATGGCATCATTTTCATGTCAAATTCTAAAATTTATTTTTATAAGCTTTTTAAAATTTCTACTTAAAACAATATAATTAGAAGTAGAATAAGACAAATAAGTTACCAATCATGAAATTAGTATTAATGAAAAATGTATTTGTACTACAGAGGAGGCACAGAACACAAAAGTGGCTTGTAGGTACATTTTCAGACATTCAATGAGGCTCAGAGGTGGCATGAGTGCAATTAAAGTCATAAATTCATGTGGAGATTAAATGTTTTAAATATAACATTTTGAATACAGAAATATTAAATGATTTAAATAATTGCAATTATACCTAAAAATGAAAACTGAAACCGCCATCAGGTGGCGGCAAATCACTGAATTTATCACTGAATCATTCATTCAATTGATTCGTTTGAACGGCTGATTCATTCATGAATGAAGCAAGTGACTGTCTTTATGAATGGGTAATCATGAATCACTGACTCACTAGATTCGTTAAAAAACATACTTTCATTCATGAATGAAACACCGCTGTGTTTGCTTTTAGAGATGACCAGCGGCTGAGCTGTTACTATATTTGGAACTATTTTCATTGAAGAACTAGAGCAAAATCAGTCAGTACTTGTTTACTGAACTGTTGTATTAAATCAGTATCACATTTGCAAACTCCTTTAAAGGGGTCATATGATGTTGCTAAAAATAACATTATTTTGTGTATTTGGTGTAATGCAATGTGTTTAAGTGGTTTAAGGTTAAAAAAAACACATTTTCCACATACTGTACATTATTGTTTCTCCTCTATGCCCTGCCTTTCTGAAACGCGTCGATTTTTACAAAGCTCATCGGTCTGAAAAGCGAGGTGTGCTCTGATTGGCCAGCTATCCAGTGTGTTGTGATTGATTGAATACCTCAAGCGTGTGACGGAAATGTTACGCCCCTTGCCATACTGTGTTTCCATCATACAGTCTATGGTTTTCATGTGTCCTGGCGCGACGAGACAAAACAAATAAAACCCATTACAAACAAGGAATTTGTTGCATCCAGTGGAGACATAATTACTGATTATAATGACTTATACTGTGTTTTTATGCTGTGCGCTGCATAGCCTATTGCGCCGCGTAAACATAAAACCATGTCTGCATTTGTGATCGGAGAAAT